TTGTCGCTTTTGCTAGCTCAACTTTTCGTGTTTGCTATCCCGACAAGGCGAGAATGCCCGCTCCCACCCAGGAAGCCCGCGAAATCCCATGACCCTCTCACATCGCTGTGCAAACTTCCCACGTTTTGACAGGTTCTCAGGCCATGTGCAGTGTTTTCATAGGCTCGCAGAGGCAAGTGTGTGTTGACTCGGTGCGGGTCCGTCCGCCCCCACAAAGACTGCGCACAAAGTTAAAAACCCTTCTAAGCCATTGCTAAGCAGGGCGCTTGCAAGGATCCGCCTAGCCCTAAACCCTAGACTCTAGACCCTAAACCCTGCTGATGTAGCGATATTTCTTGACCAGGCCCGCAGCCCGGCGCTCAAGGCAGCGCCCTCAAGAGCTGAAACCCGAATAGGCTCTACGCGCGGTCTGCGGGCCTCGTAACCTGAAATCGTCAGCCCGAATTTGTTTGCGATGATGGTCAGCCTCGAATCTGCAACTAAAACCTTCAGCAAACGGCCCTAAGAGGGGGGTGGGGGTTCAGGGCTATTCTGAGATGGGGTTTTGAGCATGTCGGTGTGTGGTTGACGGCCTGCGCGGTTTACAGGGTTTATTGGGTTCATAGGGCTGACCGGGTTTATAAGGTGTAGAGTTTAGGGTTTTTGAGGTACGACTTGACTACTACGTACATTTGCGAGGTCGGCTTCTGCAGTCCCTGTATACAGGATAATTACTACAAACCAGGGTTTAGCAGGAGGGTCTCTCGTGTTTTGAGACTCCCATAGAGAAGGTTTAGTCGGTGTTGCTGTCTTCAATCCTAAACCCTACTAGCCGAAGCCCCCTTTTACAAAATGGTTTAGGGTCTCTAAGCCCTAAACCCAAACCCCAAACCCCTGAATCCTAAACCCTAAATTCCTTTGTTCCTTGACGGAAGCCTCAGGGAGTTCTGCATGGGTTTCTGAAGAGAGCCCGCCCAACTCTGACACTTCAAGATGAGCCCTTGAACCCCGAGGCTCTGCAGGTTAAGGGTTTTAGGGGTTTTAGGGGTTTAGGGTTCAGGGTTTAGGGTTAACGGTGTAGGGTTTGGGGTTTAGGTCTTTCAAAGGAGTCTCTTAAGCCGTCGGCCTCAAGCGGCTGAGGGTTTAGGGTTGATTGAGTGTGTAGTTGTCTAAACTAGCGTCCTGCTTATGAGACTGCCGTGGTATTTGGGGGCCCTCACTCGAAAGATACCCTAAAGCGCTTAAGACCGGTGCATGTAATTGGGTGCTCCTCTCATCACGGGCTAAGGCCTCCAAACAATGTGGTCTCTCTCGTGCCACAGGGGGGTTCTCATTACTACGGGGTCCTTATACGGGGATTCTATTATATTGGGCTCTATGCGGGACCCTGATTATGAAAACTCCCATATTGGCCTCAGACTTACAATCATCTACCTGATTTGTATGAGTCGTGCTGAGGCATGGGCGGAAGCACGATATGCAGCAAGTGCCAGCTACAAGGCGTTGATATAGGGGTTGAGGTTTCAGGACCTAGGATTTAGGTCTTAGCGGGTGGGTTTGCGTTTTGGGTTTAGGGTTGAACTTTCGGAGACATTGCAGCCACGGCTGACAACTTAGGAATTTCTGTCACGCGAAGCTTCGGAAACTGTGTGTTGGGTGGAAGATCTAAGATTCCAGGATTCAGTGCTGACGTCATGTGCCATGGCATTTGTATGTGTGAGTCCAAGTCGGTAAATTCCCAACATGTTAAGTTCCAATCCCATTCGAAACTCTGTACCCTACAAGTCTAAGACGCCAACGCCAACGTCCACTGTTGCTGTGTCTTTTTATGGTAGACGTTGCAAACTCAAGGACACTGTAAGTTTGTAACGCCAATGTCCACCCTTGACTTTTTGTATCGTTGTATGGTACATCTCCGGCAAACTTCAAGGACGCTGGCAGGTGGTTCCGCAGCATCAGTCAGCAAATCTCCACACTATGGCTTTGGCCGTAGGCTGCGGGGCCCATAGACCAGCGGGCCTCTAAATACTACTTCACAGAAGGCCAAGGTGGAGAGCTGGGGTGTGGGTTTGGGTGGGTGCGCGGGTAGAGAAGTAAGCAGGTGCAGGGGTGAGGGGTGCGGGAATGAAGGCACGGTGAAAGCGGTGCCGGTGTGGCGGAGGGGGTTTGGGCATGCATTGGAGGCCTCTGAATACTACTTCACAGAAGGCAAAGGTGGAGAGCTGGTGTGTGGGTTTGGGTGGGTGCGCGGGTAGAGAAGTAAGCAGGTGCAGGGGTGAGGGGTGCCGGAATGAAGGCACGGTGAGGGCGGTGTGGGCGGGGTTTGGGCACGCATTGGAGGTTTCAAAACACAACTTCACAGAAGGCCAAGGTGGAGAGCTGGTGTGTGGGTTTGGGTGGGTGCGCGGGTAGAGAAGTAAGGAGGTGCAGGGGTGAGGGGTGCGGGAATGAAGGCGCGATGAGGGCGGTGGGGGCGGTGTCGGCGGAGTTGGTTTGGGCATGCAATTGGAGGCCTCTTCATACTACTTCACAGAAGGCCAAGGTGGAGAGCTGCGGTGTGGGTTTGGGTGTGGGTGCGCGGGTAGAGAAGTAAGGATGTGCAGGGGTAAGGGGTGCGGGAATGAAAGCACGGTGAGGGCGGTGGGGTGGAGGGCGTTTGGGCATGGAGGCTTCCAAATACTACTTCACAGAAGGCCAAAGTGGAGAGCTGGGTTTTGGTTTGGCGGGGAGGGTGCGCGCGTAGAGGTGCTGGGGTTATGTCATGTTCGCGCAGGTTCAGGTAGGAAAATGCATGTTGAGTCACGCACACAACCATAATCTTTGAAACCGCTTACCAGGCCTTTGCAAACATGCCCTTGATGCCACAGTGCTTGACCAGGAGCGCAGCCCGCAAAGAGCAAGCTGGACAACTCCAGTCGCCCGGGCCATAGCATGAGGTCTTCGAGTCGTTTGTTTGTGGTCTTTGTCGCTTTGGGTCTCCGCCGTCATAATTGAACATTGAGCATAATAAAGACTTGCGCGTTGCGGTAACAACTTCGAATCTAACAAATGCCTCGCTGACGAGGGGGTTGAGCGGCAGGGATGGCACTGGCTTCAACGAGAGGAGTCGCTTTTCTTCAACGAAAGCTTGCACATGTAACTGCTGGATTGAGCTTCTGCTGTACATTTGACCTGCCAATGCATGTGTGCTGTGGTCATACATCACTTGAGCACCGGCATGCATGACTCTATTCAACCTAATCACAACGAGACCTGCCCTTCCTGCAAAATGTATTCCAACCTCAACCTTTGTAGCTCTTTGGAGCAACGGGACGTCAAAAGTCAAATTGCCGGGGATGCCCGCACGGGCCGTTGGCCTGGCTAGTTTCGCTATGTAGAGATTCGATACAATGAACCAGGCGGAGCGGTATCAGTGGCCATTACGATAAACAGAGCATACTGCTACTAATGGAAGTGCCACTAGTTTTGTACGATTGCTGGTACTAGGGTTTGAGGTTCGGAGAGTCTTTTGCAAAGGACTAAAAGTAATAATCGTTACTGGCGCGAACAAGGTGGTACTCATTATGCAAAGTTTTCTCAGGATTGCCGGAATTTGCAGGCGGCAGGGGCCGCAGGATGCCGCGCAACTGTGGGACTGTACGGGAACTGCAGGAGCACGAGCCAAAGCAATGCAACAGTGCAGGGGAACGGCAGGCTGCAAGAAGCCACAGAAAAGCAGGACAGCAATCACCAGCTGGGGACAGTTCACCAGGCCGCCGATGCCACAAGAGCGTAAAACATCGTAAAACTGTGAGGTTTGCGGGCTGCAGAAAGTTCATCCGACACAACACGATTTGCTAATGTAGAGCACAGTCATGTATGATGTTGCCAGGGGCGGAGATTGCATCACAGGGATAGCATTGCATCTTGTCTTGGGCGTACTTAGAAATATTTTTTTAATTTTTTGTTATTATAATCCCTAAGAAACAGCTAAAATTAATTTTTTGCCAGGGTTCTAAGTTCAGTATAGTTGTATTTACATGGCGCCCTTTTGTGTTTTGAAGGAACCGTTCTCAGAAATCGCCAGCAAATGCAGAGACTTCAACCTGACGAAATGGATTTGTGGGCTTTTCGGCTGTATCTGAACCTTTACGCCTAACACTAGTCGCTCCCAGAAAATGGCAAGCGTTTCGGGGGTCCAGGTTGTAGTATAATATCCAAAGCTTTATTCTATTCTGATTATTCAGGCCCCTACACTAGCGAGCAGCAAGTGCTTGACTAAAATATCGACAGACCTAGTTTCCCTGCTAAGAGACATGCACAGGAATCAAGTGCTGCATCAAAGCAGATGCCGTCTTCCGAGTGATTGCTCCAGGTACGCCAGGAGCAAGAGAAACTCCAGGCGAAGTTGGCCCAAAAGGAGGATTGCCGACTTGTTGCAATCTTGCCCACACAGCCCTCGGGCAAAAAAGCTTCGGGTTTACGGTTGTAGTCTAGGCCTTCACTATTCAGCGTCGTGAGTGCTATCGCCAGTGTACTGTAACGTTTCTACTCTGATCACAAGCTTCAGTGAAGGAATGCTGGCGCAGACGCACCGGCCATCACATCAGCATGTTGCCCCGGCCGAAAGTATGACTGAACGACGAAGATCCTTGGGCTTCAATCGTCGGCAGGGCCGGCCAAAAAAGAAGGCCAAGGCCAAGGCAAGGACCGTTTGTCTTGTGGGTCTAGGGAGATGGGATCGCAGGCTGTGTTTCTGAAATCTGTGTGAGTGGGAACATCATCGTCATCATCCCCATGTCGTGTAGAGAACCACGTCAAAGCCTTACTAACGATGCAGACAGTGACAGTTGTTGACAACTCTTCGTGAATGCAGATTTGGAATCTAGTAGAAGGCAACCCTGACCTTGAACCGTGCGTGGGATGCAGACGGGTTGGCAGAAAGTGTAATTCAAAGCTGGCACCTAAAGATGTCCCAAGCCTAGTTCTAGTGTCGGGGGTTTTGGTTTGGGTAAGCAGCGAAAAACCTTCGGTGCTTGTTCATGTTGGTTTGGAGTGTCCAACATGTGAGTGCTGCTATCGCAACGGACGGCAACGCTTCTGTCTGAGCCCTAAACCCCAAGGGACCCTACACTGTATGCCGCAAAGAGTGACATAGGGCATTGTTCTTTGCGGCCGAAGTAGCTCAAATTTCGTTTTGATTTTCGTGTGGAGGGTGCTTGAAAGGCGGACTGAGACTCAGTGAGTCTGCGGCCGTGGTCTAGGTTCAGGGTTGGGGTTTGAGTTTGGGCTTGTTTTTTTTGTGGCCGCAGGTTTCGCAGCTTGTAAAAATAGCGTCAGCAGGAAAGCTCGTGGAACTGGAATGTCGTCGGTAGTGCTATCCCCAGTGTTCTGTAACGGTTCTGTTTTGATCGCACTCCAGCCGAAAGTATGACTGAACGACGAAGATCCTTGGGCTTCAATCGTCGGCAGGCGAAGAAGGCCAAAAGTGCCAAAAGCAAAGCCAAGGCGCCGTTTTTGTTGTGGGTCTAAGGAGATGGGATCGAAGGCTGCGTTTCTGAAGTCTGTATGAGTGGGAACATGATCGTCATCAATGTCGACGTCTCATCATCGTCGTCATCGTTATCGTCATCATCCGATGTAGAGTAGGCGACAAAAAACGCCAAGACCTTCTAAATGATGCAGATTGTGACAGTTGTCGACAACTCTTTTGTGAACTGCAGATTTGGAATCGAATAGATGACAACCCTGAGCTTGAACCATGTGTAGGATGCAAGCGTGTTGGCAGAAAGTAAAATTCAAAGCTGGCGCCTGAAGATTTCCAGAGCCCATTTCCTGGTTGCTGAGGCCCTAGTGTCGCGGGTTTGGTTTGGGTAGGCGGCCAGAAAGTTTGGGTTCTTGTTCATTGGGGTTTGGAGTGTCCCACATGTGACTGCTGCTATCGCAACGGGCCTCAACCCTGAACCCCCAACCGTGGATTCTGCTAACCTTAACTGCAAGGCGGAAAAAGGCGCTCAACAAAAAAAAAACTTGAACCCGCATTGTCATCGAATCTTTACAGAACCCTTACAGAACAATCCCTAAACCCCAAACGCCTAACCCCTAAACCTTCAATCCACAAGCCCTCAACCCCTGAAGCCTAATCCTAAACCCTAGAACCCTAGAGCCCTCAAGCCCTAAGCCCCCAAACCCTAAACCCCAGGAGAGGACCGTCGTCCTAAATGGGGACCTAGAGATCTCCGGCAAGGCAGGGTTTAGGGTTTAGGGCTCAGGGTTTGAGGTTAGGGTTTACGGTTTAGGATTTAGGGTTTAGGGTTTGAGGTTAGGATTTAGGGTTTTGGGTTTTGGGGTTTGGGTTTGAGGTTTGGGGCTTAGGGCCTAGCAGATGTTTAAGGGTTTATAGAGGGCTTAGGGTAGTTTTGGGGTTTAGTGAAGATTTCTTTCGGTGGATGCAGAACCTGCAAAAGAACTAGCGGCAGTACCACACAGGCCATAAAGCTGGAACATAGACAAGGTGACACTTTGCGTGTGTTTTCACTGGTCTTGGCTGTGCAGTTGTGTCGTAACCTTGCCTCAGCCTCACTACTTAACACCAAGCACTTGGAGAAGCTTATGCCTTGAGGATGAACCTGAGTCTGAGAATAGCTCCAACTGTGCCGTTTTGCCCTTTGTTTGTAGTCTTAGGTTCCTAAAGGAAGCCCTTTCATTCCTAGGTTTTTGGTGATCTTGGTACATAGTACATAGTGTGGCATTCTACCTTTATGCTCGAGGTTTATACATCCCCACACCGAAAGCCCATACCTAAACACTCATTTCTTTTACAGTAGCCCTTACATGTCTATAATGAACCCTTGCAGGAACCCATTACAGAACCCGTCACAGAAACCCCAGCGGAATACTTTGAGGGATTGATTGATGGACCCCAGAAGCGTCTATATCTGTAGACACTTGAATGCAAGGCGAAGCCATGACACCCAAGCCCCACATCGTAATCCGCACGCGGACAAGAACAAGCAACAGACGACGAGTAACTCCTCACCGCAGCCCTATTCGAATTACCAGGGACGGGATGCGGTAACCCTTTTGGTAACTCTTATACAGCAACCCTTAAAGGACGAGCCCTTAAAGGAACCCAAACCCGAACTTCCCTAAACTCTCATAGCAACCCGTATGGAGCCTTGCAAGGAAACCTAAACCCCATACTACCCCACAAAAGACCATTTTTCAAGGAAGCTTAAACCTTACTTATACAGCAACCCTACTCGACGCCTTGAAAGGAGCTTTAGATGCCCACCACCCTGAACCCCCAAACCCTCAACCCTTCTAGGCGCCTTGAAAGGAACTTTAGACGCCCACGAGTCTGCCAGGATGTGGTCGCTCCCGGTGAGGTTTCGCCTGCTTCCTCTGCAGGCTCAGTCGAATGGTTGCTGATGTAAATCCTGGCGTTCCCTGAGAGGGATCTATAAGGGTACCTTTAAGGGGCTCCTTTCGGGATCGATAGGGTTTAGGCTTTAGGGTTTAGGTTGATGATTCAAATCCTGCATTACCTTAAGGACCCTAAACTATGGGATCCATGGTATATTCCTTGATGGGTTATGCGGGATTTATATCATCAGTCGAGGAAGTGTTTGTCACGGTGATGAGGGTTTCACAAATTTAAATGGTGTAATGAGGATTTATCGGAGTTTCATGTGTTTGGCGGTTAGGGTCAGGGTTTGGGGTAGTTTAGGGCTTTGGCTTGAAGGTTTCGTCTTTAGGGTTTCCGGTTCCAGGGATTGAAGTCGCAAGCCAGCTAATGGAATGTGTAATATGTTTCTCACAGGTACCCTACAAATCTGCTAGTTTTGGCCTGCGCAAGGCGCCCCGGAGGCCGTCGTGGTTGCGGAGATGCCGAAGCCGATCCAGGCGAACGGCAAGGCCGGCTCAGAGAGTTGAAAAGTTTCCTTAAACTGCTGGTTCTTAGGAGGGAATGATAGTCCCTTAAGGTCCCCTATATTAAGAGTCCCGATATACCCCCATTCCCTAGTAAGCACCAGGGAGTAAAGGGAGCCTTTAAGGGAAAACCGTTTCAGGGTTCCTGTCTTCGGGTTTCGGTTTTAGGAGTTCAGGGAGCTTGAGGGTTTAAGGGTCTAGTTTAGGATCCAGGGTCTAGGGGTTTTAAGATGCTTAGAGGTTTCTTACCAGGCATCTGTTGAGGAAAAACCGTGCGGTTTATGGGCTTTAGAGTTTTCTAATGCTTTAAGGTTTAGGGTGCCAGGGTTTGCCTATAGCCTCCATTGTAGGTCCTGTTCGATTTCGCTATAGAGCCGCAAGAAAAGCTGATTTCATAAACCCTTAAAGTAAGCCTTTAACCTCTAAGCCACAAAGCCGCAACCCCTAGACTTGTACCCGTAAACTACAGGAGCCCGAAATCGTAAATCTCGAAAACCACAAGCCCGAAACCCTCATAGCTTAGTTACCTTAAGGTTCCATGTGCCCAAAGAGCATATACTTTGGCCTTAAAGTAGTCTCTATATTGGAGTACATGGACCCCCCCTACAGCCCTACCCTTGAAAGGAACCCTTAAGAAGACCCTTGAACCCCTAAACCCTAAACCTTAAACCTACCTTAAAGGGAGCCTTTAAGGGCCTCTTCACGGACTCCTTATAGCGCCCTTTAAGGAGCCCCTCGGGACCTCCATCGGCCGAGCGCGCGTTGCCAGGAGATCAGCGCGGCGGTTGCTGCGGCTCCGCAGTCGATGAACTCCAGCCGAGGGCCGAGCGAAGGGCTTTTGGGGTTTCGGGGCCGCTGAGGGGTTTAATTAGGGCTAAGGGCTGAAGGCTGAGCGAACCGGGTTTAGGGTTTGGGGATTTGGGGCCATTGAGGGTTTGGATTTTGGGGTTTAGGGGCCATTCCGGTTTTGATGTTTTGGGCCGTTCGAAGTTTGGGTTTTGGGGTTTAGGGTTTAGGGTTTGGGGTTGAGGGGCTTTTGGGTTTGGGAGTTTGGGGTTTAGGGGTTTAGGGTTCGGAGTTTTGGGTTTTTTGACGGTTGCTGTAACGGCTCGTTTAAGGGACCTATAGGGGGGTTTGAATGGTTCTAGAGGGTTTTCTGGAAATCGGGTTCTTACAGGGCCTTTCGGATACTTTGGAACTAGAACAGAGTTTTCTGAGTTTATAGCATTTTGGACCGGTGCTACGGCCCGGAGCAACTACAAAGGCCCTCAGTATTTCAACCGCAGCTCTTTGTTGCACTCCTAAATCCGAAACCCCATACCCTATAGCCCCAAAGCATCCAAGACGCAAGCCAAGACAGTACCAAATAGCAAGCCGTAAACCCAAGAGTAAGCCCGAAGCCCAAGGCACGAACCCGGAGGCCCAATGAAAGCACAAAGCCCAAAGTGAGCGCAGCAACATGTCAAACCTACGTTCCTGAACAACAACCCTCAAACCCTGACAGCCCCATAACCGTGAATTCCAGAACCTTTTGTAAACCCTCTTAGCCCTGAGTGGTACAGCCTGAGCCTTGAACCTTCGCCGCTAGGCTTTTCTTTGTTCTGTATTTCTCCTTTTTCTGCGAGGCGGCCGCAGCGGCGCCCACTGAGCCAGCGAAGCCGCAGAAAAAAGAAGAAGAGCAAGATAACGGCGGGAGCCCTTTAAGAGTTCAGGGTTTAGGGTTGGGGTGTATAAGAAGGAGAGATTCCCTTCTTTCGGGTTTGGGGTTGTAGGGTAGGGAAGAAGGAGGCCGAATTCCTAGTAGGGTTAGGGAGGGGTGCTGTGCCTTCGGAGCAGATCTGAAATCGTGGTTTAAGCGGTCGAACGCGTCCTACCTTCTGGATGATAGTTCAGGTCGGGTCACGGTTGCTGAAGCACTTTGCCAGCGATCTGCTGTCAACTTTGGCACGAATTGACGATAACTTTCTTTGCGAAACCAGACATTCTGCAGAAGGCCCCTTGAAACACTTGTAGTTCACCAGTTCCACATTTCGGTAGCACACCGCGAAGCCATCAAAACCAGGTTCTGTCCACCACAACAGATTCCCGAAGCCCTAAATTCAAAACCCTTAACCGTAAACCTACACCCTACACCCTTCCCCTTCATCCTTACGCCAATCGTAGCCCAGCCTGGTCTCGTTGTTTCGGCATCTTCCAGTCTTGTCTCCGTTTGGGCCTGCCCAGGATAGGGCTTCGGGGTATGGTATATTTGACCAGAATAAGGAGCCCTAGGGATAAATACTGTTAAAAACTGGCTTCAAGATTTCATGTACGAGAGCATCCAGTGGCAAGCATTGCAAAACACGTCAGCAAGTGTGTTTCGCGATACTTCCTTGGAAGATCCTGTCCGATGCTTGCTCCACATCCGACTGCAACAAAGTTATGGCTCCAGCATGGACTTCTTTGCCTGACCCTACCAGGAATTCGCCCACCACCTTCCCTACAACCCTAAACGGCCCCCACCTTCAGGGATCGTCCGACAGAATTGGAACGATACAGAGACGATTAGCATGGCCCTTGCGCAAGGATAACACGCACAAATCACAGGTGGAAGCAGGGAACTACTTCCTCTACGAGTGCCCAAGGGGTGCAAAATCCTGGGAGCATGAACTTGCTCAGAGGATGGACGCACACTTGGTTGAAGGGCCAATGTGCAAGTGGAAAGTGGACGAGAGCGGCAAGCTCATTGCAGGGCAATCGGGCAAGAAGCGCACCCGTTGGATTACTAATTCAGCGACGGTCGCGACAGCTTTGGAAAAGCTCTGCAAGGACTCTGGGAAGGTATGGAACAGAGAGCTTTCTTTCAAGGAGGGGATCGTACAGGCTAAAGCCGAGTACCCTCCGAAGCTCGAAAGGGCAGTGCTTGCAGGAGTCAGAGCACAGCTGGTCCTAGATGGAGAGATGAGCGAGGTAGGACACGTTGGAGGGCCAGACCCTCACGAAGAACCACCTCTGGAGGAGTATCTCCATGAATCGCTTCCGAAGGCAGGTGAACTCTACGTGAAGGAACCTGTCATTGATGCGAATACTGGGGCCGAGTTAGACCCAAGGAAAGTCGCAGAGGCAAGAGCCTCCGAGTTAGCTTGGGTAAAGAAGCAAGGAGTGTATGAAAAGGTCGATGACAGCATATGTTGGTCGGAAACTGGCCGTCCGCCAATTACCCTGAAATGGGTAGATTGCAACAAAGGGGAAGATGTGAAAGATAATTTCAGATCCAGATTAGTCGTCCGCGAGGTCAAGAGCCAGGGACAAGCGGCACTAATTCCGGACTACGCTCGGTTCTCTTCCATGCCACCTTTGGAAGGATTGAAAATCCTATGCTCGTTGCTTACGAGTATGAAGCGGTCAGCTTCAGGGAAACAACTGAGCTTGAAGTTGACCGATATATCACGTGCGCATTTTTATGGCAAAGCAGAACGCCGAGTGTTCAGCACTTCCTGAAGGAGACGAAAAGCCCGGCAAATGCGGCCTGCTAAATGAAACGCACGATGTACGGCACAAGAGACGCTTCAGCCGTCTGGCAAAGGTCGTACACTACACTTCTGAAGAAACACGGTTTCCAGACCGGGAAAGCATACCCATGTACTTTCTATCACGCCGGAACGGACGTGAGACTTCTGGTGCATGGTGATGACTTCCTTGTTCTAGCGGACGAGGATGGTCACCGCTTCGTGGACAAAATCCTGTCTGAGGAGTACGAGTTCAAGTGCGATGGTCACATAGGACCTGGATGCCTGGATGCGAGAAGGACAGCATGACTGTTCTGAACCGGGTTGTGACCTATGACCGTACGACGGGAACTGTCACCTATGAGGCGGATCCAAGGCACGCCGAGGCGCTAATCCGTGACCTTGGAATGGAAACTGCTAAACCAGCAAAGACACCAGCAGAGAAGAAGAAAGGCAGTGACTTGAAAGCAATGCATAATCATCCAAGGTACAGCACTTGGCCCGAGTACACATATGCACCGGTCTTGCGATCTCCGGGGTTTTGAAGTTGGGGGCACGGTCCCGGTACCGGGCAATCGTACCTGGAGCATCCGTCAAGGGCTTTGCAAGCTAGGTTTCCCCGAAACACAAATTCTTAGAGCCCCACGCACAACTTCTACATGACTTCAGAACCGCCGAACCCTAAGCCCTCAATCCGAAAGGCCCCGAACATACACCACGCCCTCCCAGACCGCGAAAACACCCTGGACCCTCTAAAGCCTAAACAAAGCGCCTTGAGCACGAAATCCCAAGCCTCAAATCGTTGGATCCTAGAGCTAACCCTGTGATATCGTTCGGACTCGGCTCAAGCTGTCTGTTGATTTACGTTTTTTTCCACAAGAAACTATTTGGCCGAGGCGCGTTTGATCCTGGCAAACTTGAGAGTTTGGGGCGTCATTCTGGAAAGGAAGGATTTTGAAATGGAGGCATCCTATACTTCGGGGAGGGGTTTTGGGATGACTTCATGCAAGTTTCAGACAACTTGTGCACACACTTCATATCTTTATCTTTTGTTTCGTTTATTTTACCCTTTTAGGTTCGCTTCGCTCCGTTCGATATTGACAGCCGCTGTGGATCCGATGCGACTGTATAGAACAAAACACTCAGCCAGCTAAGGTGTGTTGAAGCTTGAAAGGCTGTTGGACGGACAATGCATGCCTTCTATGAGTCGACTTACGAAGCATCCGTCCAAAAAACGACCGAGCATGGTCTGCATCCAGGTAACCTGGATTGCTTGCATGAATATCTGGACTTTTGCATTGTGTAACACACGCTGGACCCACCCCCGCGGTTCAAAAGTGCGAGACGAAGACGAGGAGTTGCTAGCAGAGGCGTTTGGGGCCAGGTTGCATTGTTAAGCAACGTGATGCATCCGAACCTGCAGGGGATTTGGCTGTCACAGTGCGTTTCAGTTACTTGAATTGGTGCTAAATGTTCACAAAATCCTAGATTCATTTATGGAGCTATGTATTGGAGCCACTCCATTCGTTTCCGTACACCCAGCAAGACTCAGAAGCCACTCGAGCAGGCGCTCCGAGTGGCGTTGGACCACGAGGCAGATGCGCACAGGCTTTAATGTTCAGGGTGCTCCTTGGTCTTCCAGCTTCCGGTTAGTCTCTCCTGCTGCATCTGCACACGTGTACGTTTATACAACGTAGTTGGTCTCTACACGTTAGTGTTCTGGATATGGCTTATAAGTGCGCGGGAGCTGCCTGCAAGATTTCGCCCTAGGGGTGAGCATGTTTACCTACTTGGGTTGAAAATAGTTTGCCAAGAGAAGTCCTTGGCAATTCAAAAGCTGAGCAATATTCTCGACCTGTGGCATCGGTGTTTTCCTTTTCCCTGGGCTTTAGTAGGGTTTGATGGAAGTTCGCACAAAGATGGAAGCCCGATGTAGGACCCTGGAGTAATCCTTGTGGAACAAGGATCACAACAACCCAAGACACAATCCCAACAAATAAACTGTCAAGGTACTATGCAGGACACAGAGGACACGGGTCCATACCCCTAAACGCACGCTGAAATGTGTAGCAGTCGCACGGAGTACAGATCGATCGACCTAAGTCGTATGCAGTAGCATGCGCAATGACTGGCTGTATGCCCATGCATCTTCTAACTGCGTAAACGACAACCCACTGTTACACAAGAATGTATGATGCAGCTGAGCCTTCAGAACAGACATGCCGTATTCACACACAAAGAAAAGCATGATGTACTGTAGACTGGCGGATATGCTGTTCTTCCTTATTATAAATATGACGATGTCATATACCCCAAGAGTGTCTTCGAATTCTATATCCAGCCGCGCGCTCTAGTCTTAGCCACTGCGCAGGGTTTACGATTTTAACAGTTGTTGTTTCGGACCCATTACTCTGTATATATGTTTATAGATGTATATATACACATACAGAAAGGTATGCTGTGGAGCCCTTTCTCTTCGTTTCTGTAGATGTAGATGTGGATGTATGTGTTTGCGTATGTGTAAAGATGTGGATACCGATGTACATGTACATGCATAGGTATAAGCCTTTGTATATGTATGTGTACATGTATGTGTATATATACACCTATGTGTCACTATATCTTTGCGTATACAGTGTATACATATATTTGTACGGGTGAACTTGTTTGGCCCACGGAGCTCAGCAACTGGTTCTGATAGGATTGAGGCTTAGGCTTACGACTACTGTGGGGGGGGGGCGGGTGTTCGGCAGTCTACACGAAGCCAGAGCTTCACACAACTTACACGCCGTGCTCAGTTCCTCGACCGGAGGCACCTGACGGCTTCAATTTCGGTTACGCTGCCCCCGACAAGTTCCGGGACCGTGCGCGCTTTGGTTGCATCTTCGATTGACAAGAGTTATTCTGCAAAGATACCTTTGGGTATTGGTTGCTGCGAATATTAGTGATGGCTTCCATATTTGGATTGCCTCGATATTGCAAGGCGGACTGTCGCAGCAGCGTTCTTACCAGTGCTCATACTGGGAGCCGCCAGGGTATGTGCCAAACAGAGGGCCCACATCCAACTCCAGTGTGGGATTCCGGACCCAGGATAAATGCGTATTTGAGCGACGACGAAGACGGCGAGTGATTGTGTCTTGGATGCATGACGATGACGTTGCCCAGCAAGGGCCAAACCAGGGGCTGGAGGTTGCGGGTTGATGGTAAACGGTCTCGGGTTTTGGCGCGTGTGCGTTGTGGGTTCAAGGGTTTTGCAGGGCTTGGCTTGCTTCTTCGTTCTGTAGTTGCGGCATTTGCCTGTATTCCAATGCCCAACCCCCGCAGCATTTTGATTTTGAAGGGCTTTGCAGCGACAATCACAAAGGCCGCAAACACAATCCTTTAGCCAAAGCCGCGCCGACGCTCGACCGACAATAATATACGGGGTTTTAGCAAGACGCGGGGCATCAGGATGCTGAAAGCTTGCATTGAGCTGCCCAGGCGGCGCTGTCCCCGAGTGGTCTGTGTTACAGGCTCACCAGTTACATGGTTGGCAGTGCTGACTTCCAAATCTATTCTCGGGCATCCAGAAATTGGCGACCTAGAGTGTCACATGACTCGTTTTGCACTGCTAGATCGTCGGCATAGTCGAGGGACCAGCTAGACGATCAACAGCAGGAATTCTTGTGTGCGTGCAAACGCAGTATCTGGAAGGCCGCGCAGTCCTCGACTTCAAGATGGCATCCCAGGTGCGCAGCCTGTTGGTGCTTCTTCACATCGTGTATGTTTTTTCGTGTCGAGGGTTGAGCATTGGATGACTTGCCGGCTCGTAATACTAACAGTAACAGCGCTTAATCTCTTATCAAAGTCTACTAGTATATGACACTGACAAACAAACAGTCTTGTAGCTTGAGCCCGAACCACCGCTGACGAAGCTACACGGCTCTGGCGAGAGGTGGAGCTGGCCACGCAGCTAGCGCAGGAGCCTTCCTTGCGCTCGGGTTTGTAGTAAGTGGGTCGGGGGATAGGGTCTAACGTGATCTGGACGGGCGGGCTTGTTCTGGTTGTGGATGCTTTTGATCGCTGGAGCCGCGTTTGCAAAATTGCGTTCACGGGCAGCTGGTCCAGCATCGCATAATGCTATCAGTCCTGAAACTTCGTTGAGCTTAGCCCTCAAGTTGGCTTCGGGGTTTCTCCTCCCTGCCTGAGGATGTAGAAAATGAGCCAGGAAAATCATGTTTTGTTCTAATTCAGGGTCAACTCCGATCCTGGCATGGTGTAGAATTTGGCTGGGTTAGGGCTACAAGGGTTGGAATTTCGAGCAGTTCGCATGTAGACTGGCAACCTCAGAGTCAAAACCTGATATGTCACCGTGGAGCTGCTTGGTTAGCCGAAAGCTCGCGTTCTAGTTGCCATGCCTGAGAGCAGGCAGTGGTCTGACAACTCAGGAGTCAGCGGGTTTCATATCGTTTTAAGCTACCGAAACCCAAACAAACAGATCCCAGTAAACCTAACCAGGCCCCAATCTCCAACTGCAGAGGCGCAGACAGAGAAGGAGGAGAATCAGCGCGCTCTGAAGGAGTTGCAGAAGAAGGCAACGTGGGTGGGTAAGGGCGGTCATATGCCGTCATGCATGGTGGGAGATGTGCTGAGTAAATTTGTTTTTATTCTACGGACAGACTTATGTTTGTTACGTTCTGTGTAGTATTGAATCTTAGTATTGCTGAGACATTGAATCTAGATCCTGAATCAGGCATGTATTTTCCTTGTGTGTTCTGTTGAAATTATGCCTTCTGCTTATTCGCCTCATCCTTCTGAGTGATGTTGCAACTTGACGATGCTGGATGCGAAGCCTAGTAGAGTTTAGCAGACTAAGAACTCAAGACTCTACAAACACCAGTTCCGGGTTCACGGGCTCATGGTTGACGGTGCTCCCGGTGGAATATTGCAACGGCAGTCGCAAGAGGCCAACAGGACTGTAATCCGACCGCCAGGTTCCAATGCATGACGGACCATTCCACTTAGCATAGTGTAGCTGCTGCGTTTTCTACAGCATGCCGCGTCTGAGGCTGAGAATTTACAGCTTGTTTCAGAGATTGCGGTTCAGAATCAAGGGGTTTGGGCTTTAGATGCACCTAGCTGTGCCCAGTTGTGTTTGTGGTGGACAAGGCGGTGTTGAGGCCTTGCAAGCAAAGACTTCTTAACGGTGCAAAACTGCGAAAGCACTATAGCCCGGAACAGGCCATCCCGGCATACCAAGCAGCCCTGCCTACCATGCCGCCGACAGTCGAGCCCTAAACCCAAAACGACATCCCAAATCCTGAAGCCTTGACCCCAAAGTCTAAAATAAGTTAGAGACAACGAAAGCTCTAACGTACCGAAGACTGCAGGAAGCGGAGCTCCTGGCTCGCAGGGATCCCAAGATATGTCTTGGGCTTCTGCAAGTGACGATTGGTGATCAACATCCTTCATGATCCGAAGATTCCTAAATGATGGGCATTATAGGATTATGCTACATTTCTTTTGCTTGGAGAATACAATGCGTCGTCCATCAACATCATGGCAACATGTGTCAATATAAAGCATACCAGGTTTATTCAAGCAAGGGGGTTCCGTAAATTCGAATTTAATATTGGGCCAGGCATACCATACCGGGGCTGGTTCTTGGAACCAAGACCCGTACAGTGGTAGAGTCATGTCGAACATTTGGCAGTGTGTGCGTGTCACATATGGGGCACAAGCAACCTGTCCTCTTGATAGCGGAAACTTATCCCACGCAGTCCTTACCCCCAATCTCAAGGAGTTGAACCTCGAATCATGCTCAACATCACGAACCAGCCCAGCACCCTAACTTCGAAGGACCATGCTTTGTGGCCGATTGTTGTTTGGGACTTCCGGATCATGGAGGTTTAGGGAGTGCAGGATAAGACGCACGGCGTGTGAACCTATGATGTCGTTGCCAGACTCGGGCGTTGGTGTCCGGTTTCGGGGCACGAACCTTCAACAGATGTCAGCAGCCCAGGATCCGTCTCAGTCCCTTCTTCGCGACACGACACCAGGAAAATCAAGGGAAGTTTGACGCGGTTTGCTTCAAGGATCAGGCGACTTCGTGACTATGGTTGATCATAGGTCACGTAGCTACTGTTACGTATAACTCCAAACTGAAGGACTCCTATGGTCCAGGAATCCCTGATTCTCACAAAGCCCCTTTCTCTTCTCAGTCATGTTGCGCTCCCGCCAGTTCGGTGAGGTCGCGTTGAGCTTCAGCGGCAATGGGTCTGCGCCACAGCGCTTCAATGCCAGAGATGTTTGCAAATCCTTGCAACACATCAATCGGAAGCAAACAAATACACATCTGTCTGTATACATGTATGCATATATGCATATATGCATGTACGCTTGTACGCATGTATGCATGTATGCATGTATATCTGTAGGTATGCATGTACATATGTTGGAAAAAGTTGGGATCCAGTCAGCTTTGGCTGTTGGGACACTGCATGTTGGTGGAGGATGCTGCTGGTCCTTTCGGGTTTAATTTGGGATCTGGTATCAAGGTTGGGGGTGTATCATTGTGATGTTTTCCTATCCGTGCACAGCATGGGCAGGCCACGCATATTACGAGGTCCAGCAGGCAATCTTCATCAGTTCAGAGGCTCAAGCAATCAAGGCTTTTAAGCCACTTGGGCTTTCAGGAAGCGACCCAATGTGCATCTGGCGCTGAGGCCGTCAAGTTTGGAAAGCTTTCAGGTTTGCGGCTTTCTGTTGGGGTTCAACAGCTCCAAGTCGTTGTAGGGCCATACAAAGGGCCTGGTTTTGGGGTTCGGCGGCTTGTAGTTGGATACGGCTGCTCTGTGCATCTCGCCCGACCAAGTCTGTTCCTGTAAAGCGCGGTCTTACCGGCTGTACAGTCTGGAGTCGACCCATGAGGGGCTGTCGTGTTTCTTTCTATGCCACCCTTGTCCTATTGTTTCTTCGAGATTCCTTCGCCACAAGTGGGTCGTCCCGCTTCACTTAAGTCAGAGACCATCTGGGAATGAAGCAGCTCTGACCATAGGATGCGGCAGGTCGCAGCGATGACATGAAGCATTCAAGCAAGAAGTAGACCCGACATGCAAGTTCAGGGTCACAGACTCAATCGCCACTGCTTGCCAGCTTGCCAGGGCAGCGCAAGCGCACTTCCTGCTTCTAGTGCCGACTGTTTCGGGATAACAGCGGTGGTTGGTGGCTGAGCTGCTGCTGGCACAGAGTGGGCTTCCTTGAATGCAGCCCGGATATGTGTGGACAAGGTATCGCCATCACCGGCATCAAAGGCCGGATCAGCGAGCATCCTGAGAGCTCGCTTTTCCCGCTAGCAGAACTCTCTATGTCTCTTATGCTGGAAGGCTGCATCCCTGCAGTGGGCCCCACATTTGGAGCTGGCCCGACCCTCACGACCTGTCGGCCAAAAGCAGCTCGTGTCGTTTTGCCTAGGCGCCCCTCACCTCCCCAAAACCCGATTCATTACAAAGCCCTTCTAAGACCTCCCAGAGACTTCATTTCCACAGACACTCCTGGACTGCACTAAGCCGCAGTCCCCAACCCAGAAAACCCTGCTGCCTAAGCCCTCAACCTCTAGAGCCCAGACCCTATAGAACCTACACCGAAGTTTCGGGGACGCCTCCATCATGCAGCTAGGTCAGGGCCGTGGCAAGACTTCCTGGCGAGCCTTTTTGACCACGCCTTGTCAGGAGGGATACAAGTCCGTTGGCAACTCAGTACTGTGGTGCAAGGGACGGCTGCACAGAATCGAGATTGCAGGCTTGCTGAGCTCTGCAAATCCAGCAAAGTTGCTGTGTTGAGGTGCAGCCAGCATTCGAGGCTGGAAGCCGTTTTCATTTTCGGAACTCTGCATCGATGGCCTGCGTTGAAGCATTGGAGCGGTAGATGTTCTTTTGCAGTCAGTGGGTCAGTTCACGCTCCCGCTGGTCAGTCAATCCGTCCGATGGTTCACGTGCGCGCCGATGAGTCAGCCAGTCAGTTCCGCCGGTCGATCGGTCGACTCCCGGTCAGTCAGCCAGGCAGCAGTCAGTCAAAATTTGTATCTAGTCTGCACCTGCGTATACGTTCTGGGGAATGTGTGTGTGTGATAGGTGGACATGGCAGCTGTTTATATGTTCGCATTTCTATTTATTATATATAATAAATAGATATAGATTTATGTATTTTGCTACGTACAGCAACAGCAGCAGCAACAACGACAACAGCAGAGGCAACAATAACAGCAAGAGCAACAGCAACCAGTATGATGACGACGACGATTAGTGAGATTAGTGGTAATCATGCGGTACTGGTAAGATTATTAAGTCAACGTAACAGCAGCAGTGCTGGCAGTGTCAAGCTTTCTGGAGTGTTTTGGCAGTGCTTCTGCGACCTCGTCAGTGGAGTGCCTAGTGGATGAGTGGAGTTGCAGTGGGTCTTATTCTGTGTTCACCAACAAGTGCGTGCCAACACAGTACATCGATCCATGGCAGTTGTCCGCAGGACCTCCCGCAAATCCTTCCTGTTTCCCGATTTGTTTTGGAGCCCCTTGATTCCTTCCCAGCCTAGCCAAACAATGCTTGCAATTCGGAGCCAGTGATGGTTTCGAATTCCAGTTGCATGCTGACCGTGAAGGGCAGACATGCACCCGATGGTGATGATGCTGGAGGACTCTTGCAGTCCCTGTATGTTCCAGGCAGCAAAACATAAACCACAACGAACGAACACCAAAAGCAAGTCTGGTCCTGCGTTGGAGCTCGCAAAGCGGTCTACAGTGTGGACATCGCCAGATAGCCAGAAAGAGCCTTGGAGTTGGCAGACGTCTTCAGTGCAAGAGTTTAGGATTGCCGATCTGCGGCCTCTGCAGGCAGGAACGTGCAAGATATCAGATGCACAGTGCAGCGTTCATCCAAATCCCCCTTCCGAAAGTGCAGTCACCCCGGCGTCCCATAGACTTCGTTAGACTGGAGGAGGCTTCCGGAAAGCAAACCCGAGGCCAGCACCAAGGTCAAACACGGATTGACTGCGATGGCAATCGATCACAAAACATGGCTCTGTGGAGCTTTCGCGAAATGTCGTTTACCACCTCACGTCAATAGTAGAGAACCTGGTACAACCTGGTCAACACTGTGTTCGGGAGCTTGTCTGGTCGTTTAACAGCAGTTAAGTTAAACTGGCGGGGTGAGGCCCCTTCCCACCATGCAAATGACTGATTCAGGGCACTAAAGGCCGAAAGGTGGGCCTGCTTAGGGGCCTTCCTTCCTGAAGGTCCCTTGTTTAGCATGTCTAGACTGTTTTTCCGCAGTGCATACGTGTTGCCTCTGCAAAGGTCGGCGCAGGTTTCTAGCAGCAGTTTCAAGGGCTATCGGCAGCATGGGGAGCTTCGTGTAGGGTGACTTTAAGTACAGTTGTCTTATTACCCGCGCATCTGCCTAGCTATTTTGCGTTTCTTTTTTCCTCTACGTATTGTCGTTGCAGGTGCTTTGTGAGTCTTGGAGCCCGCCATGCCCGCTCTGCATTGCTTGTCCCCTCCAGCCATGGCTGGCTTTCGTTCCCCTGTCCCCGCCCCTCAAGTTGTGTATTGGCATTTTCGGGCCGGTGCATGCTAACCGGCTTGCTGCTTTTCCTGCAAGGAAGTTCGCAGCATCTGTCAGCATTTAGCAAAGACGGTGAGTTTCCTCGACCTGAGTTGGTATGTGCTCTCGACTTGTACATAATTATGCCAAACCTCTGCCTCGCTCCAGTGATTCGCAGCCCTGTGCTGGAATAGATTCGCTTCACGAGTCGCCGCACCCTTTGCTTGCTACGCTCTCTTTTCCAAGCTTTCGTGGCCCGCTTCCCAAGTTTCGGGAATAGCGCTGCGCGTGATACACATTCGGACATGGACAGGCTGTATCTTCAGCTACCGTTGCCGCCGCTGGGCGACGGCCGGGGAAAGACAAAACGTGTGGAGCACGGCACATCCTCTACCCTCTGAGAATGACAGGCTCTTTCGACTGCGACACTCCGAGCTGTGTTCGGTCACTGGTGGTTGGGGCCTGAGTGCAAACACTTTCTGACAAGGCCTGGCTGTTGAAATTTGATGCTTTCAGGGCCTCGAAGAGTGACGAAAAGCCATCGCCCTGGAGCTGCTGCTTGCCACCGTGGTTTGGCCGATGCCAGATGCCTTGGCAGGAGCTTCGCAGGACGAAGTCGGCACCAGCTTGGCAGCTCGGACCAAGAGCCCGGCAACCCTTGAGACAAGTACTGGGGTGTACTGATTGGTGGCGCCATACTAAACCGCCGTCGTTTCGAGGGTTTTAGGGTCGATAATTGTTTGCAGTGCTGGTGATGGGTCAACGGATAATGCAGGATTTGTAGTTCGGACATTTAAAGAGCGCCTTGATGAGCTTTTGCAGCCCCAGAAACCCGCAATTCGTAACACAAGAGCAGCTACCAGCATCCCATGGTGAAGCTTCAAGTCCTATTTCTGTTGATTGGGCACTCACAGCGAGGATTTAGAGCATAGGGTATTTACGGACTCAAGCTTCCGAGTAGTCTTGTTCTCCTCGAGACAAACCTACCGCACATGATGTCGCAATTACAATGGCAAGTAGATGCGAATCCTCGCAAGGCCAATAATCATCACTCAACATGCCAGTCACATCATCACCACCAGAACCAGGCATGAATCGAAAGCCAGCACAGCTTGAAGTTCTCACGAATACTTGCGTTTGCAATAGCTTCTTGGCCGTGACATCTGCAGACCCAGCCACTGGGCGGATGTGGCGAAATCCGACCACAGGGAGTGCACGAGGCCGAGGTTGCTGTAAAGCTTTCGAGAATGCAACTAATTACACGACTCCAGCCTTGTTAGGAACGCGACTTATCTTTAACAGGAGGTCCTCGGTTGGCCGAAAACGACCTGTGGCGCAGTGGTGCTTCATTATCCATGCGCAGGTCATCGGGTGGGAATCGACGCCGTCCCCGGTGCGTCAACGGGTGGTCGTCGGGTCCTGAGACATGTTGGGCGTGGTGCTTCGTATTTTCACTGCGTGCTGCACTCACCACGTGAAGTTTGAATCCTTCACAGCAAAAAAAACTGGGTGGTTGAGGATTTCCTTGCATCAACTCCTCCACAAGCACTTTTCCGGAGAGCCAAATCAGGATCGATCTTTACCCTCTGCGATCCAGGCAGGTGCTTTGCTTGGTTCGAAAGAACGTGGATCCACATTGCCTCATTCGTGACCCTCCCTCAGACCTCTCGCTTCTGCCCCTTGCACCTTTCGGTTGTGCCCCTCAAGACTTGTGCGTCGCCTTACTTTTAAGGTTGGATTCCCCCCTTAACATCTTCAGCTCCAGCTTCACTTGGGATCTTCGCTTGGGATCACGCCGTAGGTCTCCTTCGCGTTTTCGGCCACCGGTTTAAAGTGTGAGGTTGCTTCCGGTCTTGCCGACACTGCCAGAGTGGGGAACTCAGACGGATGCCCGGGATTAGTATACGGGTGGCACCAGGAGTAAAGAAGTATACATTGTAGCTAGCCGGTCAGCCACATTGGTGATGCTTCAACTGGCATGCTTGACCGTGAGGGAGTCGCCCAAGATCGGGCGCGACGGCAGCGCGTCAAGAACCAGAAGGCAGCAAAGCATGCAATCCCGATTGGGGTAAAACTCATGAGCACTTCGTGTCCTGCGAGGTTATCCGACAGCATGGAGCCATGGCCTCAATGTTTGTTTCCGGTTCCCAGCTTCGAGACATGTCCGTTTGCTGATGCCACCGTTTTGAAAGGCGGTGCCTTGGCTGATCAGGAGGCCGGTCCGCCCAGCAACGGAATTGCCCGTGCACAAGCATTCTATAGCGAAGCTAGGACGTGGCGCGCCTGCATCGTCCGCTGCTTCCGGATGTTCGACGCTTATCTCGCAGAGCAAGCCCATCGTTCCAGCATCGTGGCTTGCCTCAGCTTGAATCTGCAGGCAGTGAGTGCAGTGAGGGCCGTTGCATTGCACGTGCATGCAGAGTTCAGGGGGTCATATCGATTGCCGACGGATGTGAATCATGCGGTGAAATCCTTGATCTCAACCATTGCCTGCAGTCAGTTGAATTTTAGAAAGGGCCTCCCAATTCGGCGGCTGAGCATTTCGCACAGCCATACACGTGCCACGACATCTCTGTCTTCCAAGGTGCTTTCCCGGAGAGAAGCATCTAGATTCTAGTTCACATTTACAGGCTTGTGTATGCTGCGAAGATGAGCAAACTCCAGGGTCTGGCGGTCTTACACTGGCATACTACCAGCTGCGAGGCTGGCATCGTCGTGTTGCGATCGGAGGTGATTCTAGCAGCAGAGCACAAGCTTCGATGCAAGCTGGCAAGACCTCTTTCATTTCTGGCTTTGCTGGCGAGTTGCAGTTTGAAGGTATCACTCGGGGAGGGGCAATCGGGAGCTGTGATTGATAAAGAGGCGCAACAAATTCAGGTCTACTGTTCGCATGTCCGCTATCCCAGACTTGCAGTAGTGTCCAGTGTACAGGCGCTGAAGTCGGTGATGCCCATGGCTCTGAACAACAGCATGTATGCGCAACGTTCAGTTTTGATTGCTGCATACCCACTCCCACTCACGTCAAATCCTTGTGTGTCTTTTAGTGGCGTGCACTTGCCAGTAGTGGGCAGGTCCAGTAATGTGCAAGTCGTAGGATCTTGGTACCATTGCTTCTTTGAG